ACCCACTATCAAAAATTTATACACATAAAAAACATATTTAATCTTTAGGTACATTTATCTACTTTAAGGTAAAATTTTTTCGGCAAAGAAGTACAATTTGAAAATTTAATTGACGAAAAAATTATTTTATGACGTCAATAGACGAATGCTGTCAAATCGACGAAGGGTTAGCGGTCCGCGGATTTATTTTCTACATCGCAGCGCTGATATACATATATACATACACCACGCGTTAACACCAATTCGAGATAGAAAACTAACCCTAGGCGTGAGGTAACAGGTGTCTACCGTGTACACAGCGTTAGAATACGTGATAGCGAAAACTTGAGATTTCTCTATTTTGACTTTAGCTTGAGTGAATATCTCATAGAGTTGCTCTACCGTGTAAACTTAATTGAGAGAAGAGATTTTTATTACAGTAAAACTCTAGCAAGATTTCTCTACCGTGTATATTTAGCTTAAGTCTGTTCCAATAGCAGTCCGGTTTAAAGGATTTAGTCAGAACTTACAGGAAGTCGTTCCTATAGACATAAAACCTGTAAGTGGGAACACTTTTGAGAGAGTAACTGAGCAACTGTACCTAGTCAGAAGTTACAGCATTTATTCCGGAGTTTTTCTTCCTGTAAGTTTATGAAAAGTGTCAAACAATGGGCAGGGTTGTATTTGTAAACAAAAACAGAACGCGATGAAAGCAAAGAACCTTGCGTTTGTTAAAAAATGGAAGTAAGCCACGAAATATTTGAATATGTACGTAATTATTCTTAATTGTATAGATTTTAATAATTATTTAGTGATCTTTCAGCCAAATCAGTGTTGTACCAATGGCATGTAAACAAACCGACTGACGTTTTTGAAGGAAGTAGTGCTTTTTGCGTTCCCGTACACTTCTGCACCTGCAACACCTTGGTGCGTTACCCAGCACTATAGTAACATCTCAACCCTTTAATCTATTTTATATATAAAAACCCAAGAACTCATTTTAGTCACATACTATCACATAATTACATACGTCATAAGTTGCTCTTTTAACACATCATGTAAAACTGTAAAATATAAATATTTACTAACATACGCTGGTCATATGCATGCATGTACACAAGTACTATACATGTGTGGTAAGTAAATTCGTAAAATCGCTAAAACCAATACCAACGGCGCGAGTTTTGACTTTGTTCCGTTTTCCAGTGCTTCGGATCCATTAAATAACTCCTAAAAAAATTAAATTTAAAGTATTAAGTAAACTGTCTGCAGTATTGTTTACATAAATTATTTCTTGCTCACCTCTTAATTGACAATTCCTCTGTCCATTTCTGTTTCAATTCAAATACTGTACCCGCTTTGCCGCCATATTCGTTGGGCAATAAATCGCGCGGGACATGTTCAAATAAACTCTCTATGCCCTCGGTGTGGAAATGAATCTGTAAATGAGTAAAGTAAAAAAAAAAAAAAATTCACATAGATACATCTGTACATCTCATCAATACTTCAGCATTGCTTGTGCATACCATTTTATAAACCTCATCACGCACGAAGGGTCTGACAATAGCGATCATTTTGTTTAGAAATGGTGGACAATTGATGATGTGCATGGCGCGCAAACGCACCGGATATGCCTCTTGTAAGAAATTCATATACATGCGTAATATTGTAAAGGAAATGCGTGCCATGTGGGATAGAGTATATCCGTCTATGTCACAAATCTGCACTTCGCCATTTGCTATAATATTATCATCCAGCGACTCATCTTCAATTTCATTTTCAGTTTTGGTGCCAGTCTCTGCATCGGCAGTTTCTTGTGATTCCTTTACCTTTCGTAGTGTTGGTTCTTCAAGATCGAGGTCGGTGAAACGGCAGTCAGCAAGCATAAAAAATGTCTTACACTCTTCAATACTATTCATCTGAAATTGAAATGGAAATATTTACTGTAAAAACCGCTGGGCGCTAAGTTTATCCATTTAAGTACTACCTTTTTAGGATCTTTGTCGCCTAGACGAAAGAATAGCAATTTATGGCCCTCTGGTGTTAGGCCTGGCAGAGGTATCAACTCTCTGAAAAATGGTATTGTTAAGGATATGTTTTTTTAATTTTCACGCTGACGACACACAATCAGTTTTGCCTTTCAATTTCCTCACACACATTGCTTGTCGAAAATCATCAAAATTGAAAGTCATTACGTAGGCTGCATTCAATTTGAGAAGCTATTTCATTACCAACATGTCGTCTTCAGGAAAACAATGTCTCTAACTAGCTTCTGAAGAGCATTTTCCATTTTAATTCCATTGTAGATTAACATTTTAACATGCATAAGCTTATTATTTTTTTATTTTCACAAAATTCGCATGCCAATGCGAAAAGCTGATCAAAATTGAAAGCAAAATTGAAACTCAATTGAAAGGGAAAAATTGAAAGCAAGTTGCCCATTCAAGCAATACATAAGAGTGTGTTAGTGAAAAAGTGTGAAAGTATTGAAAATTGAAAGGGAAAATTTAATGTGTAACGGCCCGGTAAAGTATTGTATTTGTTTTGACATTTCTCTTTGTACAAATATTTTCACTTTTTAACCGACTTCCAAAAAAGGAGGAGGTTATCAGTTCGTCGGAATATTTTTTATTTTTTATATTTTTTATGTATGTTGCCGCATAACTTTGGACCACGTCAACCGTGGTTAAGATCCGATCAGTGGATCATGAGATATATATATATATATATTTTATATGAGAGTTGAAGTCGGTTTTTTGTTTGCTAAAAATTACTTGTTGATGTATGAATAGCTTCCGCTTTATGGTCTAATTATGCCTACTTCACACAACTTCGCATAAGTTTAAAACTGTGCTTTGAATATAGTTTGTATGTACTCCAGAAATTATCAGAACGTGTAAAAACTTTGCGATCTGTTGAGTTTAGATTTTACCTCACATTTTCTTAAGTGACATTTCGATTGCAATGGTACCAGTGATTGTGCGAAGTTATGCGAAGTGTGCATAATCAAACCTTTAGATTTATCCTATTTTCTTTCTGACTTTCGAGAAACATGCATCGTAAATCTGCAGGCTTATCGCTTAGTATCAAACAAATCATTTTTTATGTACAAAACAACATAATTTAATTATAATAACTAAGAAGCTAATTTTGGATTTTAAACTGCTGCAATATGTATGTATATACAAAAAGGTTTGCAACCAAAAGGTCAAATTATTTCTACAAGACAAAGTATCCTTCCTTTATAATATTGCATTCATGCTATCACTGAATTCGAATAGTTACGAATGTAGCTTATATTTTGAATGAGTTGGATAAGGGATCCACACTAGAGATAGGCGCGGGATAGCGGGACCCGCGGGACCCACGGTACTGATTTAAAATTGGCCGGGATGGGAGGTATCGGGAAGATCTGTAAAAATATGGCGGGCGGGACGTGACCGAAATCCTTTCCCGACACTCCCGATAAAACCGCAACGCCCGCAAATTCACAAAATCTTCCTTAAAAACGATGTTTAAAATATGCACTTTTAATGTTTTATTGAGGCGAAAAAGAAAAAAAAATTATAGGAAGATGCCAGATCTTTCATTATGATTTAAAATTAATATGAAAGACATGAACATTTTTGTGAACCTTCGATCGGTTTGTAAACCTCGCCACACACGTTGAAATCTCAACCGCTCGTTTCAATTTGTTGTCCGTGTGTAGCCTGCTTTAGAGATAGATATCGGGACCCACGGGACCCGCGGTACAATTCTGAAAAATGTCGGGATGGGCGGGTTCGGGACTTAAAAATCGAATTTCGGGATGGGCGGGGTCAGGATTAAATATTTAGTCCCGTGCCCATCTCTAATCCACACTAAACTTTTCTTATCTTTGTTGTTAGCGATATGATAAATAGCAATTCTACGAAAAAATGCATATATATATACACCAGAGCTGGGCGATAAGGATTACATGTGTAATCGATTGCATCTAGGATTACGATTACTTTAATCGCCATTTCAAAAATTACTAAACTAGGATTGCGGTAATCGTTCATCGAAGGCATCTTAGATGACGATTGCAGTAATCGTAATTTCGACTTTTTTAAAATTACAATTACTATAATCGTAATCTAAGTTCGTTCGATGAATGATTACAATAATTTTAAATTTAAAATTTTTCAAATTACAATCTTTTCAGTAACGAAGTAATTCTATAAATTTGCGAAATATAAATACGCGCTTAACGATAATATAAGGATAATATGTATTTATCTAAAAAACAGACAAATAAAAGAAACTAATATTAAAATAAAAATAATAAGTAAAGTAGTTTGGGCGAAATAAACTTTGTATAACCGGCAAATAAAACAATACAGGATTACAATTAAACTGCAATCCTAATCGTTTAGTAATCGTAATCCTTATCGCCCAGTTCTGATATATACATATGTACATATGTGCCGGCAAACACTAATTTTCTTTTGCTTGAAAAGATTAAATTTGCATGTATTTCCTTTCGTAAAAAAAAAATAGAATTGGCAAATAAAATTTAGACATTTTTATTTAACGCATGAAATTTTTTATAGAAAACCATACATATGTAGATATATCAGATGGTCCCAGTGGGAACATGGGAATACATTACCAAGAAAAGATTAACAACTACGGTTGGACGAAAAGATGCATCGCAATGTAGCGAGCGTATGATGTGTACATAGTTTTGATGTCACGTTATCTCAACAGTTGCTGTAGACGAATGGATGCGTGTTCGACTGCCGTGTTGTTGGTCACGGGTTCGAAGCCTATTTTTATATTTTTTTTAATTCAATTTATACATTTTCTATTGATTTGATTCTTTATAATTTTTCAAATACTGAGTCCTAGCGAAAGCTTTGAATTTCTTTTAAGAAATCCTTTGAGTATTTTAATTAATTTTTAACTACAATCAAAAATTTTACTTACGTTACATCCCGTATCGCCTTAATTCCATCATCATCGGGGTCTCGATCGATAAATAAGTGAGGATATTTGTTTCGCATTGAGTAGTTCAATTCAATAATTTTTTTGGTTTCCTCGACATCGTAGAACATGGATTTTAGAAAACGCCGCAAAAGGATACGATCTAAAAACAAAATTTTTTACAATTTTAGATATTTATTTTTCTTCTAGTATGTATATATCAGGGTTGTTGAGAATATTCCCATTCGCATTCGCAACCGCGGAGCTTCCCGATTAATTTTAACATTCGCATTCGCAATAATCAATGCGGAGCTTTTGCGAATGTAATTGTTGTGCAAGTGCACCGATAAAATGTATACCTGGCAGAGCTGGGCGATAAGGATTACGATTACTAAACGATTAGGATTGCAGTAATCCCAACAAGATAAAAAAACAAGATTACGATTACAGTAATCCTTCATCGAACGAACATAGATTACGATTACAGTAATCGTAATTTTAAAAAAGTTTAAATTACGATGACTGTAATCGTAATTCAAGTTCGTTTGATGAACGATTACTTTAATTGTAATCCTGTATTGTTTTATTTGCTTTTGATGTTACATACCGTCACCTTAATTCACGAATTCCCTAACCAGCAAATTTTTTATTTTACAGGAGAAGCAAAAAAACATTACAAAAATCAAATCATTCATACGGATACGGCATTTTAAAAAGTGGCATAACTCCGTTGTTTTTGGTACTAACACACTAAACGCAGTTTAGAAAAAGTGTGGGTTAGGGCCTTTGTGAATAAAGGTAACAATATATTCGTTTCAATAATTTCAAATGGAGTTCTTTGGGGAATTTATTTTTAGCAAAAATATTAAAAATAGTAATTTTGTTTACTTGTCGGGCAATATTTTTTTCATAGGGATATACATTGGATCCTTGGCTAAAAACTTCTGTGGTAAAACTCTCCCCCTACGTCTCCCTTCTTTGCTATGTAATGTCAAAGAGTAAGCTCCTTCAATAGGGATTTCCAGCAGAAATGGTCAACGTCTGGCTATAAACAGAAAAGGTCTGACCTTTAATTAGTTAAGAATTACGTAACTATCTGAGACCCTCATCATCCGTGATTCCAATAATTCAAATGCTTATAAAAAACGGGGTGCTTTTTTAAATAACAATATTCTGATCCGATTGAAAACAGAATTTTGGTAAAATTTTCATTCCTGCAAAATAAAAATTTATTTTCCATATCCACCTATTTAGCTCGCTATAAGCACAAATTTTTCAAACCAGTCGCAGAAGAAAGTATTAAAAATCAATTACAAAAACGCTGATAACGTTACAGGTTCTCCAAATTCTGAAACAGCCAAAGGAATGATAATGAAGAAAAAAGCTTTAGAAAAACCTGAGATATCTGGTTTGGCTTGTAAGCGCTGTTTAAACAACGATCTCGCCATTATGTTAGATTCTTCAAGTGAAGATGAAAGTCAGGAGGATACATCCGACATTTTCAGCCCCGATGTAATTCTCATTACTTTTTATTACATATAATGTTCCAATTTTTAAATTCAAGTACTAAATAAATTAAACATTATTAAAAAATACTAACTTTTCCATTTTTTTTATTTACCTAAGTATCTTAATTTACTTACCTAATTGTTTCTTAAAAATACTTAACATCCACATTCACATCCGAATCCGCGGATGCTAGCTGTTAGACATCCGCATTCGCATCCGCGGATGTCTAAAATTCCACATTCGCAACATCCCTAGTATGCATGTACGAGTATAAGCGCACCTGTATGTAACAGACCTGGGGCTCTATTCTGTAACTGTGAGTTTTCAAGTGTACACTGAAAATTGTGCACTCTTCATTTTGCGATTCAGGAAGAGTGAGAATGAGTTTTAGCTGTCAAAATTGTGTACACTTCCTCATTTTGCGATTCAGCGTGTATGAGAATGAGTTTTAACTGTCAAAATTATGTACACTTCTCTTCCGAAAAACTCACTGAATTTTAGTCGGTGAGTTTTTGGTTGTGAGTTTTGCACTCGGTGTACACTACATTTTCTCACAGTTACAGAATAGAGCCCCTGCAAACTTTTGCGCCGGTGATAAGTTTAATATGTGAATAAAGTGTGTTTTTAAGAGTTTAAATAATGTTTAAACGGCCGCAAATTAGTCGGATGTGGCAACGCTATTAGTATTAATTGTGCTTTGTTTGCCTTACAGGGCGATTCTGGCAACTGTTTTCCACCTCACCACAGTATTTCGAAAGACAAAATTCTTTTGTAAGACAGAAGATTAATTGAAAGATCTGCTAACGAGGAGGTCTTAGCGTTATGCTGTTCGCCTTTTAGCAATAAGTATTTTTTTAATTTAAAAAATATGTGCATATTTTAATTTTGTTGATACATATATTTTTATTTAATAATTTTTACGCTAATAACAAACGTCTCGGATTTTCAGCAAACTTTTCGATTATTTTCTTCTAAATCATCTCCCTTTTTCCGGTAACGAGTTTTCTATGAATTCAGTACCCATGACTAGGTCATAGATCTGTTGAAAATGCTTCGTGTTCTTTTGTACCTTTTCAATGGAACATTTAAGCTCTACCCACAATTACAGCGGACGACGGTAAAGTGGTCGGCGGTAAGTATACAGCTAACACTGGCCACACACGATGAACATGTGTGCGAGCATGCTTGCTTGTTAAAAAATAACAGGTTATGTGCCAAATTTTGCATTTGTGCTAAAGCCTGTTCTGTAACAAAAAAAAAAAAATCAAGTTACTAACGAAGAAAAGCGAGGGGTAAATAAAGAAGTAATGAGTGGTCGAATGAAAATACGCAAAGACTTTTTGTATGAAAAATGAGCAGATAAGAAAGTTACTCATACGCCACGTACCCTTGACCTTGACCTAGTAACACGCTTTTCTGCTCATATTTCATGCAAAAAATCTTTGCGAATTTTCATTTGACCACTCATTACTTCTATATTTATCCATCGCTTTTCTTCATTAGTAACCTGTTTTTTTTGTAACAGAACAGATTTTAGCCCAAATGCAAAAATTTGGCATAGAACCTGTAATTTTTCTTATGTTAAAGTATGATTTTTTTTTAATTTTTTCATTCATAATTTGCCAGAAACTATCAGTACTATCGGGAAGTGATGTATGTCTGGGAAGTTGGCAAACGGTATGACGCAAAACGAAAAAAAAAGTTGTTCTGAGTAGCCTTCCAATAGTTCTAGAGTTCTTGAAAAGGGGAAAAAAAGTTCTGGATATTTTCACAAAAAAAAAATTGATTTGAAAATTGGGTATGCCAGATTCACGCAGCATACGACATGTGGCAAAAAGGCAAATAAAAAGTTGTTCTGAGCAGCTTTTTAATAGTTCTAGAGTTCCTGAAAAGGAAAAAAAAAGTTCTGCAAAATTACGCCAAAAAAACACTTTTTTCGAAAAAGTCAAAAATGTTAAATTTAAAAAAAAAATAAAAATTTAACCTGTTCTGAGTAGCTTTTCAATAGTTCTAGAGTTCCTGAGAAGGAGAAAGAAAGTTCTGCAAAATTACGCCGAAAAAA